AGCCCAAAAGAGCATCTGTTGGCCGTACAAATTCTGTGGTTTATCTCTGCGGTAGCAGAGAACTACGAACACAGAGAAGCGACACTCCTTTGAAGTTGCGTGGGCAAGCCGCCAATGAGTGCCAATGACAGGAAAGCAACCAGAAAACTAATAGTCCGTGGGCGTATCACACAATATAAATTCTTAAATAAAATTGAGCATTTATGTTGACTTTCAATAAATATGAAATATTGCACTGAAAAAATAATTACATGCAGGGCCGGCTTTTGTTGACATTCTAAATGGTGTAAATATTTTTGATTTACAAAAGGTTGCAAATACATCGCACAACGCAAAGTAATGGTGAAAATCGTATTGATGGAACCATAGATGAAAATACTTTTTTGTTTATTCTGATGTTGGCATTGATAATACAATAATACATCGATTCTTTTTGGCTTGTGTTGATACAAGATATAATTTGTTCGTCGTGGAATTTCCTAATAAATTATCTTTCGTAATATAATCGAAAAATAACAAAGCCATTGTAACTGCCACGGAAATTTCACAAACTCGAAAAATTCCAATTCTCTTTGGGTGACACATGTTTGTGATCGACAACAAGAAACTTTGTTAAAATCGATTGTTAATGTCTTGGAAACCTATTAAAATTACATTTTTCCTTTAAAGTCGAATATCGGAGTAAACGATATTCGACTAAAATGAATAAAAAATCGAGAAGTAACTATTGTACGAGTATATTTCTATAAATATAAAAATGTAATAACCTAAAAAATAATCAAAAAAGTATTACGAATCATTACAAGAGAGCATTAGGAAGATAAAAAGAATTGATATTATTGTCATTACACCATGATTCGGATATACATACTAAATCCAGACGTTTAGTTTTAAGTAATATTTCGATACAATTTATTTTGTTTACAATAGATTCAGAGTTAATACATACGATTTTTAGTTGATTGGTATTGCCTTTAAAATTATTTGTAGTATCTAGTTTGCCTAAGCCGGATTTGTAACAATTATTTCTGGTTTTGTTGTTAACTGCGGTTAGTACAATTCTTACACTTGAAGTCAAAACGAAGAACCATTGAACCTTCAGGCCAGATACTGGGATTGAGAACTTCATTTTTATAATCCAATGGATACAAAACTTTAGAGCTTGCTAGGTACTCCGTACCCTTTAACTTCTTGAAGTAGAAATGTATATTTGGAGCATTTACCTTTAAATAATTGGTCAATCTTCCGTTGTCTGTTGTGGAATTATATTATGGTGTAAATAAATAATGATTGTATGGAGTAAGATTTATCTCTGTTTACTCTTAATATTGGCTATGAGCATGTGTGCTTGGTTGTAAATATAGTAATTGTCATCCACTTCTAGTATGTTAAAATGTAACTAACTTTCGCAATAAAATAATTACTAAAATACTAGATAGTTGTGTCTGAGATTAGCGAACCGACTATACATACACCATGATACTAAGACAAAACAAGATAAGTCAACGCGCATGTTCTTGTGACGTAAGCCCGAGATAACTTGCCAAATTGTCAAAATTAATGGCAGCAAGTTAAACTTTAAAATTAAATTTAAATTTTTCATTTGATGCAATTCTAGTTATATTAATAACAGCAGATTAATTAATATTAATAACAGCAGAGCAAATGTTTCTATGGATAATAACAAATGTTTCTATAGATAATAATATATACTAATGTCCTTAACCCTGCTGTCCTGTTCGGGTCTATTTGACCCAAAAAAAAAATTATTTCTTATTTTACAAATTATTACGCGGCGTAACGTTTTGGTGTTTCGTGACTTTATTACTTAATATGAGGTCTTTCAATTGCATAAAAGATAAAAAATCAACCTGCTCATTTTTTTGATAAAAATTAAATTGTTACCTATGGTACGCTCGGGTCAATATGACCCACTTATTTAAACCGTTAAAAATTACCTGTATAGGTATGTTTAGTTGGTAGTATTTTATATTTTCTAATAGTGTTTGTCAGTCAGGTACGTCTATAAATAAAAACAAGTTTCTACAAGCTAGAACTTGTAAAATATGTGTAGTGTAGCTGGACGATGTCAGGTAGAATGGCATGTCACGTAAAAGGAAGTGGGGGTGATAGACAAGTGGTAAAACACTAATATTCCAAGGCCAAGCGCATTCATTTATTCGTTTATATTTCAAATTTCAGTCTATGTTTGCCTGTTGATAATGTCGCACCGTAGAGCGCTAACCGAAGATGAGCTTCGCGAGCTCGCGAACGTGTCAGAGAGTGATGAGTGCATATCAGAAACAGAAAACAATACAAGTAGTGAGAGTGAGGAAGAAAGTAGTGATGAATCCTTTGGTGTTCCATTCTACGTACAACATCCTGTAGAACCTTCTGTAACGGTTCCTTCAAAAGACGATACTATCCAATGGTCGCTCGATCCTCCTTATCAACGCGGTCGTTTTTCTACGGCCAATTTTATAAATAATGCTCCAGGAGTTACAAGGTACGCATGTGCACGAATTTTCGATATTAAAAATTCATTTGACGCACTCTTTTCTGACATAGTTGCAAACCAAATTATAAATATGACCAACATGGAAGGACAGCGTGTTTTTGGAAACAACTGGAAAGACTTAGATAAAATTAGTTTTCAAGCATACATTGGTCTGTTATTGTTAGCTGGAGTTTTTAAGTCCCATGGTGAATCAACTAAAAGTTTGTGGAATGAAGAAACGGGTCGTAGTATATTTCGAGCAACAATGTCCCTTGAAGTATTTACAAAAATTTCGCAAGTAATACCTTTTGATAACAAGACTACTAGACAGGATAGGAGACGTACTGATAAACTTGCTGCAATACGTGAAATTTGGTAAAAATGGGTTGAAAATCTACCAAAATTTTTTAACCCTGATGAAAATGTTACCGTCGACGAGCAATTAGTTGCCTTTAGAGGCCGCTGTCTATTCAAACAGTACATTCCAAGCAAGCCAGCGAAATATGGCATAAAAATTTGGGCCTTATGTGACAGTAAAAGTTCTTATGCTCTAAAATTGCAGATCTATACAGGAAAGGAAGCAAGTGCCGCGCCAGAACGAAATCAGGGAATGCGTGTGGTGTGCGACTTGAGTAGTGATTTGAAAGGCCACAATAGTACATGTGATAACTTTTTTACATCGTAAAATTTAGGACAACTTCTTCTAAAAAGAAAAAATACAATGCTGGGGACTATAAGAAAAAATAAACGAGAGCTTCCAACACAAATTGCGAATAAAGAAGTTCATAGTTCGTCTTTTTACTTCACACAAGATACCACTGTTGTTAACTATATTCCTAAAAAGAATAAAAATGTTATTCTTATGAGTACTTTGCATCATGAAAAGGCTATTAGTGACAGAAATGACAAGAAGCCCCAAATTATTTTAGATTACAATTCCAGTAAGGGGGCAGTGGATACTCTAGATCAGCTTGTTGGTACATATACATGTAAGAGGAAGAGAAATCGCTGGCCCATGATTGTTTTTTACAATATGCTGGACATTTCTGCCTACAACGCGTTCGTTTTATGGACATCGATAAATCCCCAATGGAATACCAATAAACTTACAAAACGACGAATTTTTCTTGAGGAGTTGGGAAAAACACTGGTGAAACCACTTATCCTTTCCAGGAAAAATTTACCGAGAACTAAAGACTCACAAGAACTGGTAAAAAGAACACGAGCAGAAGCGAGTAGAGAAGATGGAAATTCTAGTGAACCGTCTATGGACCATCCAACTCCGCCTGCTAAACGAGCACGCTGTAAATTTTGCTCTAAAAGGGATAACAAGACTAATATTTTATGTTATATATGTCATAAACATATTTGTAAAACCCATTCTTTCTATTACTGTCCCAGTTGTAAACTTAATTAAATTTTGTAGATATTTGTTCTTAGGGTTTTCTGGGAAAGAAAAAATGCTTTTTATTTTTGTTAATAAGGTTTAATTTACAGTAACAATATAATTATTGTTTAATTAACTATAATTGTTTATTAATACAGTTTTGTTTAGCACCATTAGCTTATTTTATTTCTATTAGGGAGCGTAAATCATAGTTGGGTCATATTGACCCGAACAGTATATTTGTGTAGTTTACTCGAACGGTACAGCAGGGTTAAATTAGTTATTGATTTGGGAGCGAAAAATACCGCGCATAATATTTGGTGGGAAAAACTTCAATGGACAATGGATAAGAAGAAAAGAATAAGATAAGAATAAGTGAAAGACGATGGGGAACACCGAGGTCAAGATAAGGCAACGAAGTTAAACAAGATATGAGAAGACTTAACGTAACGAACTGGAAAATAAAAGCAACTAACAAAAGGGAATGGAAAGGGATAATACATCAAACCATAGGCCTACGAGGCTCATAATGCTTATATATTATTATTATTAGTAAAGTCGTAATCATAAAATGACATGACCTTTATTATCCACTACACATATCAAGAAACGTCTTAACAAAATTGATTGTTTCCAAGTGTATTCCTTCCGAGACTTTAAAAAGATGTAAGGGGTTGGGGAAAAGAAAAAAGAATTGTGTTAGTTTCAAATTTGGTCTTCCTATAAGCTGCTTTTCATTAGTAGGTCACTTTTGAAAATATCTCTCAACGGTCCATGTGGGGGTAACCTCACATTATCCGTTCATATAGGGACAATTTTCAGTTCTTCGGTGTAGTTTGACAATTTTTCATTTAGTTATATATTGCAGAACGTAACTTATTTTGATTTCTTCAACAATATTGTCTGTCATCAAAGCTATGTGCTTGCCTTAGCTGAGCTGATTAAGTTTCTCTCCATGTGTATGTACTAATTGTTGCAATGTAGCGTTTCGAGTATATATTACATAATCACCTTCTAAATGATAGTACTATTAGTTAGTTTTTTTTTTATTCTTGAAAAAATTTAAAAACAATACGTTCCTATTTGCAAAACGTTTATGGTTGTTATTTGTTCTAGGTATCTATCCAATGGCCGCTACAAGTATCTCCAGGACCCGACAATGCCAATAGAGCCGGAAAATGGTTGCTTTACCTCGAAAATAGTCCAAAACTATATGGTGTGGACGGTTTTTGTACGGTTTTAGATACAATACCCAACGAACTACATCTTAATACATCGACCGTGGTAGAAGACGAACCCGAAAATTTAAGGCTGCGTGATCCTTTCGATGATCTAACTACAGAAGCAGTAACCATACATTCCAGGAAGAAACGAAGTATCAATTACGTGGTTCCATATCAGACTACTGAAAGGGGAGGAAAGCGAAGGAAAATAGTGGTTATGGATTGTTTTTCTGGCAGTGCCAAATGTATTGAAATTTTATGCACGATTAGGAAGCTTAACAAGGGTAAGTAATTCTTTTATTATATAATTAATAAATAATCAGTTACTGATCAGCCTTAATGAGGAAGACGAGTCCGAGCTTTGCTGCATCGCATTTTATAATGTCTGTATTAGTGGTAGACGACACGGCATGGAGAAGCAATTCCATATCACGGCTTATAACCGCAAAAATCAATTTATCATTAAAAAAACTTACTTTTAAACCTAGACCCTTTGGTTACAATATTAATTTTACAATTTTACAAAAGGCTGTATATTTGAATTATTCCATTGAACCCTATGTAACGGGTGTAAAAAAAGAAAAATCTATGAGGCCAATTGTGTCGCAAATTCCTCGGCAGAATGTAGTAGGATCTGGTTACCAATATTGAAAGAGGAAGTTATTAATAAGAAAATACCAGTATTAGTAAGTCAGTAACATATAGAGGATACATCATTTATGTTTTTTTAAATAACGAAACATATAAAATCAGAATGTTGGTGTTTATTGAAGGTAAACTAAATGCACGAACAAATACTTACCATGTCGGGATAGTATTATGAGGTTTTTTTCCTGGTTTTTCCCTCATAATTTACTATGGAATCACTAACAGGAGAACTTTACTGTCATCATGTCATGTGTTTGTCTTTTTAAAGACGAATTACATGCTATGATTTTTTTCTGACGGATATTCTCAAGTTAAAGTTGATTTCATGTAATCGAATGAATTATCTTATAAGTAAAGTCGTCCCAGGAGCGCAACTCAACAATATTGGCAATATCATTTTAAAGTCGTCTACTTTAAAATGCATAATGTATGTCTGAATTGTCAATATAAATGAGTCAGATAAAATTAAATTATTAGAAGAATTTTTCACTATGTAACAAAAAAACAAAATTTGTTTAATTTACTGTGTGTATTTTGAGAACGATTTCCGAAGTGGAAATTGAAACGTCAATAAACGTATTTTTATCTTTAATTGTGGCTTATTCCCAGTTAAATAGTAATTAATTTAAAATGCCACAAGAAAATAGCTTCAGAACAATATTAAGAAATGTTAAAAAATGGACGAAACACCGTTATCAAAACGCTCCACTCACTGCTAAATATAATATTGTGAGAAATGAATATCCCCGAAGATTGGAACGAAGCTGTACCGCGGTTGCTATTATACCATACAAACCGTGGAGTGTTTGAGGCACACAAAATGAACAAGGCCAAACTCACGTTGCTCAGAATCGGGAGAGAGATGTGAGAGTGGTTCTTTAGACAAATCCACTAGTACCCAAACTATATAATAGCTACTATATCTAAACCAGAAATATTAAATGAGCAGATCAAAAAACAAATAATAATCTAATTGCCGAAAAAAGAAAACGAGATACAGAGGAAAATAAAATTTTAACGAAATAAAAAAAATGTTATATATGAAGTTTAAATATAGATATTATATGTATATAATAATCATTAAATATTATATTTAAGCTTATGATAAATTTAACATAATTAAACAGAAAATTATGTGCATAAAAATTTTAAGACATTCTGTATAACAAATTCTAAAAATACTATGATTATATTTTCAATCAAATGTAAATAAACAACTACATTTATCTAACTAAAGGACTTAAGAAAGAATTGAAATATCATAATTTTTTAACATTTCACATAAATTATTATTTTCACATAATCCTAAGAAAAAATTAAGAATTTATAATTATTTAACATTATTGAAGTAATAAAAAAAGTTATGTAAGGTTAAAACTATAAAAAAATATCATTCGACCTTGTAAACCTTCTTATTTAAGTTGGGCTTCTCAAAAATAATAGGAAACTCCGTTTCCTATTATTTTTGGTACATCTGCTTTTCCATTCGTACAACTGCAGGAAAAGAACAGAAATGCCTTTAATGTATCTGCATCCTAAATTCCACGTGATATGGGGGCACGTGAAGTATGAAATAAATACGTACATCCATAAATCCATGCATTCATTAATCCATAACTCCACCAGAAGGAATATTAGCGAAGATAGACGAAAGTGTAATGTATTTAGAGAAGTGTATTTTTCCTTCTGTAACCAAGCAAAGAGAAAGTGGACATTAGTGTTTTTTACACTAAAAATTGTTACAAAAAAAACTTATGGAAAAATAAAAAAAACAATTGGTGGACTGGGAGAAACCCAATACTGTATGTTGTTCTTTTCACCGCTCACTGCTGTCTTGTATGACATGACGACGTCACAGAATAATAAACAATCAGAATGCCCACTCTCAGATGCCGCCTTTGAAGTTTTTCAGCACGCGCGCCATGTTTTAGAAGGAAACACATAATACAGACATATGATTTGTGAGGTTATATAATTGTTTATATTTGTTTAATTATATTATATTTATGTTATTATATTTAACAATGTTAATATAACTGTATAGTATGTCTATGATTGCCGTAAGTCAATTAAACCGGGTTAATTTTTCTATGCGCACCACATAAACAACACTAGCTCCCTCTAAAACATGGCGGAACGTCTGCGCAAAGGAGATGCGCGTACTTAATTTTCCATGGAGAGTGGGCATTCTGATTGCTTATTATTCTGTGACGACGTGAAACCTGCGTTCCGCCGAAATGACGTGACAGTGATATCGTGTAATCTCTTTTTAATCAATGAGATATATTCCATAGACGCAGTTTGAAAAGGATAATTGCTTATAGCGACTTATTTAGGTTTTTAGAGGAAGCATTAAACTCAAAACAATTTGGGCCGAATAAAATAAACATTTTTCAATTTTGTTTATTATTTTCCAAGAGAACAAAAGTGCTCCTTTTAGGAGATTTTGAGATGTTTATAAAAAACATTCATTCTATATAATTGCAACAATCAAATCAAAGTTTATACAGGGTCGAATAAAAGCTACTGCTTAGTGAATCAAATCAAATTTTAAAACTTAAAAGATTTTGGATCGTTACACTGTACAAAAAAGCGACAAAAACGCTTTAAAAAATTGCCATCCAATAACATTACTCAATACGACTTATAAACTCTTAACAAACATTCTTACTGACAGGTTGACAAAAAAATTAGACGGATATCAGACAGGATTCAGAATAAATCTTTTATTACCAGTGACGACTTGTTAACTGAAAATCCTAATCGAAAAAGCAAATGAATATAACATCCCGATATATGAAGCTTTTATAGACTTTAAGAAAACTTTTGGCAGTGTGGAAGACTGAGCAATAAAACGCTCACTAAACAGCAGTAGGGTAAACTCATCGAGCACTAAGACAAAAGAGGGAATCTAATCCTTATGAAAAGTTTTTAGACGAGAAAGTTTTAATTAATTATTAATGATAAGAGTCTAAAATGCGACACAATTGTTAAAAAACTTCAATATAAATAAGATTTCATGTGACATTTGGGACAAACAATAACATAACCCAACTAAATTTGATGTCAAACAAGGAGAGAGACTCTCTTTCCTTGTTTAATGTGGCCTCTAAAGATCGCACTTCCTGTCTAACAATATGTTTGCCCCCACTACCTTTACATTCCCTCTATTGTCTTTTTGCTCGATGGGTAAACTACAAATATACTGAACTTTTGACAATATATTAAGAATTAAGATTAATGAACTCTGAATAGCATTTAATAGAGGAATAAGGCAAGGTAACACAATATCATCACATAAGCTGTTTAACCAAGCTCTGGAGGATGTATTGAAGAAACTAAATTGGTAATAAAAAGGAATAAGAATAAATGGCTATCTACTATACGCCGATTGTGTCTTCCTGGTATGAAATAAAGACGAGTTAAATAATATGCTTTTGGAACTAGAGAAGCAAGAAAGGTCGGTTTTAGAATGGCTTTCTGAGAAAACAAAAACAATGAGTAAGACCTCAAAGAGTAGCACAAGAGAAACACAAACTGATGAGATTGAACAGGTCTTGAGCTACATATATTTGGGACAAATTATAAAATTTAACAAAGAAAAACAGACTGGAGATAAAGCGTCGAACATGATTAACATGGAAAGTTAGCTTTGGTATTAACGAATCATAAATATCCGCAGGACCCTACAACAAAACTCTTCACCAATGCATCCCACCAGTGATGACATAAGAATGCTAAACATGGACAAGAATAAATGAATAAATTAGCGAAGACCAAGAGAACGATGAAAACGCGAATGTTGGGAATTTGTAGGCCATAACATCAGGCAGAAGGACGATGTATGGAACAAACAAGTGCTGCCCTGAAGAACGTGGGAATCAAAACAACACTAAAGAAGACCACATATAAGGTGGGCAGACGATTTAAATGGACATGCCAGTCCAAGATGAATGAAAATCGCTATATGCAGAGAAAAATGGAAGTCAGGAGGAAAGGTCATGTCCGATCTTAGATATAAAAGGGCTTTAGATAGATATATAAATTGTATACTTATTATGGAATCTTTTTCTTCGTGAAAATATTTATCATTGGGAATTTTTATTATTTATGTAAAAAATGGCAATTTATTTGTCCTAGCATGGAATTTTGACAAGACTACGAGAGCCTAGGAACTAGGACTGCGCTTTTCAACATCATGCTATTGGCAACTTCGATATTGGAAACTTATAAAGATCAAAGTCACGTACCTTTCGACTTACTTAAACATTTTTGCAATACACTCAGCCTGCGTCCAAATTTAAACTCATTTAGAAATTTAAAAAAAAATGTGCTTGTGGAAAAACTAAAACTATACCACAGGAGGTTATCTGAAGGCTTACCATTAGTATGCCGTGGCGATGTACCTCAACAATTAATGTTGAGGAAGAACCCATTCTTTATTAAGTCACATATAAATTCATCACTTTTCTATAATTTCTCGAGATTTCGTTTTTCGTAGTTAAGATTTTACTAACATGTGTTCTACATTTGGTCTCATGGACCAGAAGCATTGAACAATTTTTTAAAATACTTTAAAATAAAAACTAAACGAGAATCAATCAAATTCGCCATTCTTCTCATTAAACGAATTTTA